ACATGGATGTTTGTAAACATTCCAATCTGACCTTTTCTAGTGATATGCTAGACATAGTACTTTCTTGTTACTATGAGAAAAGTACAAAAAGAAGCATCAACCACAGAAAGTTAAATTCATTTCTCCCCTGCTGACCTGCAGCTCAGCCGCGCGTTCCAGGAGCCTTGTTTGGCGCCCTGGCCCCTGCGCTCATCCCTGTCACACTGATGTATTTATTTATTTGTTTATCTTTAAATACGCGTTTATTTATTTCAGAGAGGGAGAGAGAGAAAGATCAGTGATGAGAACCATGCACCGGCTGCCTCCTGCACGCCCCGCAGTGGGGACTGAGCCCGCAGCCCGGGCCCGTGCCCTTGGCCCGGAATCGAACCCGGGACCCTTCCGTCTGCGGGCCGACGCTCTATCCATTGAGCCACACCGGCAAGAGACACTTAAAAAATTTAAAAAAAATATATATTTCTTTAATGATTTCAGAGAGGAAGGAGAAGGAGAGATAGAAACACCAATGATGAGAGAGAATCATTGATTGGCTCCCTAGTGGGGATGGAGCCCGCAACCCAGCACATGCCCTTGGCCGGCATCGAACCTGGGACCTCCCACTCCGCAGGCCGACGCTCTATCCATGGATCCACACAGGCGAGGGCTAATTTTTTTTTAAAGCAGTTTTATTACAGAAAAGCTCCCTGCAGCAGGGAGGGGGCCCAAGAGGGTTGCCCTCCTGTCACATTAAAGAAATGTTTGCATTTTTATTGATGTCAGACAGGAAGGGAGAAAGAGACATCAGTGACGAGGGCAGAATCATTCATCGGCTGCCGCCTGCACGCCCTGCAGTGGGGATCTAGCCCGCAACCCGGGCTCGGGCCTGACCACGGAGCCACGCTGGCTGGGCTATTCCTGTTACGTTTTATTGTAATTGCTGCTCATCACTCCACGGCACTGGACATTTCTTGAGGTTAGGGATGGTGTTTTGTGCATTTGAGTCTGGCACTGGGGAAGAGCTAAGTAAATGTGTCTAATGTATGAGTAACACGCAGGCGGTCTGTTTTACACGTGTGAACGAGAAATGGAACCCAGAATCGCAGATCGCAGCCTTACTGAGCCCTCCCAGGGCTTCTCGGCCGGTGCTCAGACTCCAGCATCACTCGCCCCCCTAGGGCTTCTCGAAAGACTGCGGGGCCCTGACCCCACCCTCCTGTGTAGTAAGTCCGGGTGAACCAAGGATTTTAATTTCTGACTAGTTTCCAGCTGATGCTGATGCTGTTGGCCCAGGGGTCATGGCTTGCAACCAAGGCCTTAGGGGACACATATAATTTTCTGTTATCATCTCTGTTTACTTCTTCGCCAGCAATGGCTTTAGATTTCCAAATTTGCCCGCAATAACAGCTTTATCCAGCGGCCTGGGATACTTACAGAACCCGTTGCCACGACATTGAAGAGATCCTGTCCTTGCAGAGGGATTATGTAGATCCGACTGTACGATGTAAAAGGAAAAATGTAAAAAACAAGGGGCCCTCTTTGGTGACCATAGCAATTCAGACACCAAGAATCCAAGCTCCTTCCAGCAGGGACCCAGCCTGGGGGCAGGCATCATTTCTGGTAGACGGTGCGGCACTGGGAGAGCTGGTGCCGACTGCTAATCATCACGAATCCTGCTTCCTTCCTCTTACCCGACGCTCCCTTTCCCGCGGCGGCGGCACTGACCGGGTCTCTGTGCCGGGTAGCTTGGCTGCACCTGTTCCCCTTGGTAGTTACAGCGTCGTAGCGCTCCGATTCCTCTCTCGGGTCGAGAGTTTGTGAGAAGATTGTATTTGATACTTATTCATTTCGTCAGGGTTGAATATTCTTTGTCATTTTTCAATTTAGGTGTTCTAAATGGTTGGATAACCACTGATTATTTCTGGACCTGAATGGTTTATAACTTCAGAAGGAACAATGGGAAGCCAAGAATTTATTGTAAGTCTTTGTTTTTCTTCCACCTTTTACAGATGTTGCTAGAGTTGCCAGATTGAGAAAAAACAAACCCCAAAACAAACAAACCCCCAAGAACCCCAAACCTAAAAGCAGGACATTCAGTTACATTTGGATTTTAGATAAACAGTGGAAGTTTTTAGTGTGAGCGTGTATGTCTCAAGCACTGCCCTGGATTTTAACTGGCAGCCCTATCGCTTGTCGCCTATTCACATTGTTATACAAAGTCCTTAACAAAATCTCGGGGAGCTTGGGACCAGGGGATGGTCTCTCTCTTGAAGAACGGACGTGCCTTTTAGGTGCATCCGTGGTCTTACATTGTTTGGTTTCAGGATCCTTTCCTACTCTTGAAAACTATTGAGGACCCTAAGAATTTTTGATTATGGGGCTTATAGTGATGTCTTTCATATTAGAAATTATAACAATTTTAAAAATATGTATTTACTAAAAATAATAAACTCATTACATTTAACGTAAATTACATTTTTAAAAAAAATATTTTATTGATTTTTTACAGAGAAGAAGGGAGAGAGACAGAGAGTTAGAAACATCGATCAGCTGCCTCCTGCACATCTCCCATTGGGGATATGCCCGCAACCAAGGTACATGCCCTTGACCGGAATCGAACCTGGGACCTCTCAGTCCGCAGGCGGACGCTCTATCCACCGAGCCAAAGCGGTTTCGGCCGTAAATTACATTTTTAAAGAAAATAGCTACATTTTCCAAAAGTAACAAAGAAACATTGACAAGAGTAGCATTGATGTACATATTTTGCATGTCCCTTTAACATTGGATTTAATTCTCAGCTCTGCTTCTGCATGCAATCGGAAATTGAATCTTACACTGTTGCACATACATAACCTGCACTTAACTCCACTGTGCTTCCCGGAAGGAACGGGAGGGAGGAGGCAAATAGCTTCAGGAAGATAGTCCTGACCTCACAGACCCTGGGAAGTCTTGGGGACCTCCAGGCGGCTCTGCACAGATCACGCGTGCTGTGTAACCCGCACATTTCCCGTTCCCGCTGATGACAAGAAGCTCAAAATTACGTTTGTTACCAGTTAACTTCAGTTTTTATTTAGAATTTACTTTTCCTTTCTCCACCCCCTTGCCTTTTGCTGCCTAGTTTCTTTTTTTTTTTAAATGGATTTATTTTGCCAAAACCGGTTTGGCTCAGTGGATAGAGTGTCGGCCTGTGGACTGAAAGGTCCCAGGTTCGATTCCGGTCAAGGGCATGTACCTGGGTTGCGGGCACATCCCCAGTGGGAAGTGTGCAGGAGGCAGCTGATCGATGTTTCTCTCTCATCGATGTTTCTAACTCTCTATCTCTCTCCCTTCCTCTCTGTAAAAAAAAAATCAATAAAATATATTTTAAAAAAATAAAATGGATTTATTTTGTTACTGTTATGCTATCTGTGCTTTTATATTGGTAAAAGATGTCCTAAGTCTATTTTCTGGTAGAAGGGTATAAAATACGTAACGTTTAACATACATATATAGAAATCATTTCTTCACTTTGTGCTTTTGGGAATAGGTACTGTATACTCATCAAAAGGCGAAGAAGTCAAAAGTGTGGCAAGATGGAACTTTGAAGATGGCTCACCGAGGAAACAAAGTAAGTGCAAAGCGTCCAGGGCAGAACCCGAAGCTGTTTAGCTTCAGAAACTGCAGTCTGCACGAGGCCGTGCCCTGTGGACGGGGCCGGTCCCATAGTGGACATCTCCACGTCCAAGTCATGTTATTGTCCTTTTCTTAATTGAACTTATTGGGGTAACATTGGTTAATTTGTCTCATTTAAATAGATGAATGTTTAGCCTTCCCCCTCCTACGTTTTTTTATTCATTTATCTTAAACTAATAAATTCATTCACTGCTTGATGCTATTCTGTGTACTTTTTTCTTTATATTGTTCCTATTTGGTTAGGGTCAAGTCTTCAAAATCTTACAGATTTAGTCTTATATTAAAACTCGTGGGCCGGTGCACAGATTCGTGCACATTGAAAGGAAATTAATTAGAAGAACTATTTTAATATCACTAGCTGCCCTTTCTCTATAATAGAAGTGTCAACCAAATTCACGACCGACAATGACAGATCGAAGCACATACGTGCGATGGGCGCCAGCGAGAGCTTTAATGTCTCACACGTGCGCGAGTCAGCGTTTATTTTTAAATTGCCAGTGCATGTCATATGTCCCGGACGGTCGGTCACTTAGCCTCTTATATAGATAGAAGGCATCTAATTGGACTCTGAATATCCATCATGTCTTCTTGTGATACAAAATCATAATTCTAAGGTCAGGCTAGTGGTGTCCACTTTATCTTCAGTTGTCACGTGTTTAGTGTGTGCGTTGTACACCTCACACTGGAAGGTGATAGGAGAACAAGATGAATGCGGGGTGGCACCAGAGATTCTCTGGCCCAGGAAAGGTAACGATCTCAGTCTCTCCTCGGCCACTGCTTCCCCTGCTTCTCTTGCGCTCGTAATGCCTTTTCTCCGTCTGTCCAGATCTTATCGTCTCCCATTAATGGCGTCATCACCCAGCAAGCATTGCTGGTGGGCGGTGGGGGCAGTGAGGTCAGCCGTGGAGTCGGCGTGAAGAGCTGTCCTGCCAGGCAGACCTCGCTGGCGGCCCGGCTCTCCGCCTGGCGGGCGTGTAACCTGGGCAGGTTATTTAGCCTCCGGGCCTCTAGTGTCTTTCCAAATGGGGGCAGTGACACTTTGTGACCTTGTCCCGAGGGTTAAACGAGGGACATGTAAACCTCTAGCAAGCCACCTGGCTCGTTGTCAGCAGGCGTCTCTGTCAGGCGTCGGATGTAACTGTTGCTGCAGTTTCTGTCGTGAGGGGCTTTTATCTAAGAGCATGAGGATCGTACTCTGTACATATGTTCAGGGCTCTGATAACAAAGGACGGACATCAAACTCTGACTCTGGTTTCAGAGTCTTTCCAGATGAAGGGTTTGCTTTGGACACAAAATTGGTAGGTTGTGGGAAGAGGGCCGTAGATGGTGCCGTAGCTGCCGCACGGAGGTAGAGAACGGTAGGCAATGTGAGGGCTACAGGCACCGGTTGTGGCTGGAGTGAGGCCCGTGTGGGGCAGTGGCAGCAGCCACATCGTGATGGACGGAGAGCACAGCTCGAGGAGCAGGGAGAACTGAGCAGAAGAGTGAGAGCCATGTTCCATGTTAGGACATTATTTGGGCAGCAGTGTCAGACAGAACCTTTAAGTTCTGAAGGATGCAAGTCAGATTGGACTTGGGGAGACAGGTGTAGTGAGGGACAGCAGGTATATGGACACGAAGTGGTGGGGTCTGACTAAGTGAGGGGGTGACTAGTGAGACGTTAGGAAAAGAGCACAGAACCTTAAGGTCTCGATGTGGAAGGTAAGGAGGCTCCAAAATCAGCTTCCGGTTTCCGTACGATCGGCGTGCTCGTCAGGGCATCTCCAGGAAGAACCCAGCTCGGAGGGAATTCAGAGGCGGGGCTCCCTTCTGAACGCGCTGAGTTTCAGGTCGTGGAGACAGGCCGGTGACCGGCGTGGGGACTGGGACTCAGGAGCGTCCGGGCCGCTGAAGGGAGTGTGTGGCTTTTGGGTGATGCTTGCCGCTCCTGGAGTGGATTCATTGGTTCATTTATTCCACAGTTTTTGAGCTTCTGTTCTGAGTCACACACTGTTCTGAGGGATGCCGCAGGGAGCAAAGATAAACCCGACTTCGTGGCAGTCACGTGGAGGAGACGGACCAGCATGGCCAGTGGGTTAGGCAGACGCCCGGAGTAGGGGAGCAAGGGCGAGGTGGACACAGAAGGGCCTCTGGGGCCTTCCTGGTCACTGTGAGGGCTGCTGCTCTCCTTCTGTGGGGCTTTGGTGACCAGGGAAGGATTGAGCAGAGACGTGACACCGTGTGATTTGTGTGGAAGATGATGTTCAGGGCGGGGTACAGGCTGTAAAGGGGAGAGGAGAGAGCCCTTGGAGACACCTGTTTTTTAACAGCTTGACTGACATACAATTCACACACTTTTTTAAAAAAAATTTATTGATTTCAGAACAGAAGGAGGGGTAGAGAGCGAGATAGGAAGAATGAGAGAGGATCATTGACCGGCTGCCTCCTGCTCGCCCCACAGTAGGGATCGAGCCCACAACCTGGGCCTGTGCCCCGACTGGGAATCAAACTGTGACCTCCTGGTTCATAGGTTGACAACCATTGAGCCGCACTGGCCGGGCCACACACTTTCAATTCACCCATTGAGAGTACACAGTTCAGAGCGTCTTAGTGTATTCACAGAGCTTTGCAATCACCAGGATATAACTTTCGGGCATTTTTGTCACCTCCCCAAAAAATCCCATACCCATGGGGAGTCACCACTCGGTATGTGACCCAGCCCTCAGCATCCACTGACCTGCTCGCTGCCGGGAGCTGAGCCTGTTCCGCCTGTGACGTGACTGCAGTCCCAGACCATGCGGGCCTCTGCCAGCTTCTTGTGATGCCATGCTTCAGTGTCCATCCGTGTTGACTGTGTATCAATGCTTTATTCCTTTTTCTTGCTGAGTAATGTTCTGGGGTATGGATTTCCCACATTTTCCTTATCCATTCATCAGCTGACATACATTTGAGTTGTTTCCTCTTTTTGGCTGTTAGGAATAATGTGGTGTGAACATCTGTGTGCAAGCTTTTTGAAAACATGTTTTTCATTTCTCTACTACCCAGGTGTGGAATTGCTGGGTTGTGGGTCACTCTGGGTTTAATTGTTAAGGAACTGCCAGACTCCCCAAGTGATGGGAACAGCAATACTGAAAGGGTTAGAGGAGGAACTGCTGCGAATGGCTACAGAGACACAGGAGAAATCTCCTTGGCTCCCTGTTCCCCTGTCCCCGTGCACAAGTTCTGTGAGGACCTCACGCACAGTGACGTCCTGCACGCCCTTGTCCTCGCCCTGATCCTCCCTCCCGCCCCCTCCCCCCCGACTGCAGCAGTCTTCACACGCCCCGTCTGGGTGCTGCCCAGCTCCACCCAAGATCAGGGTGGGGACTAACTTTAATTTCTCGTGTGCCTTCGAAGCTCTCTTCACAGAGTGAGTGACATTGGAGACAGACACACTTCATCATCCACGTTAACAAAGTGGGTGGTCCTTTCCTGCTGCTTCCCGCACGCCCCACACTGGGGTTGGAGCCCACAACCCGGGCATGTGCCCTGACCAGGAATCGAACGGTGACCTGGGTCACATGTCAACAACCACGGAGCCACACTGGCTCGGCGATCCTTTCCTTACATCAGGGGTCCTCAAACTACGGCCCGCGGGCCACATGCAAATACAAATATTGTATTTGTTCCTGTTTTGTTTTTTTACTTCAAAATAAGATATGTGCAGTGTGCATAGGAAGTTGTTCATAGTTTTTTTAAACTATAGTCCGGCACTCCAACGGTCTGAGGGACAGTGAACTGGCCCCCTGTTTAAAAAGTTTGAGGACCCCTGCCTTACATGGTTTACTTACAGAACAGTCTTAGATTTTCTAGTGAAGATGTTTAAGAAAAGCAGAGTTATGTTGTGCCCCATTTTAACATTTATTTTGTTTTAATATAGGCGATTTTATATGATGACAAAGGAGAACGCTTGGAGAGTTTATTTCTGACGCGCCTTGAGGTATTTTAATGTGTCTGTCTTATTTTTTTTTAATTTTTACTTGTTGATTTTAGAGAGGAAGGAGCAAGAGAGGGAGAGAGGATGTTGGTCTGTTGTTCCACCATTCATGCATTCTTTGGTTGATTGTTGCATGTGCCCTGACGGGGGATCGCCCGAAGCCGTGGTGGATCAGGACAATCTCTAACCGCCTGAGCTGCCTGGCCAGGGGGTGTCTGCCACATTTTTAAGTATTGTTTTAAGGTATCTCTTTAAGAATTTTTTAAAAGTATATTTTATTGACTTTTTTACAGAGAGGAAGGGAGAGGGATAGAGTTAGAAACATTGATGAGAGAGAAACATTGACTAGCTGCCTCCTGCGCACCCCCTACTGGGGATGTGCCCGCAACCAGGGCACATGCCCTTGACCAGAATCGAACCTGGGACCTTTCAGTCCACAGGCCGATGCTCTATCCACTGAGCCAAACCGGTTAGGGCTTTTTAAGTATTTTTTTAGGAATGTTAAAAAGTATAGTCAAGACACTAATATTGATAATTATAGCGAGTGTTTCCTGAGCATTTATTATTAGCCAGATTCTGTGCTAAAAGCTTTTAGATGTTGTCTGATTTGATGTTTACGTAGCCCTGTGGCTGCAGGTTAGGCATGCCGCACTGAAGCTTAGGTAGCTTGCCCACATTTGTGTGGCCGTGGTGGGGCTGGGGTGAGCCCAGGCGTGACTCTAGTCCGGCTCTATTATGTGGTTTTGGTAGGCAGAGAACCACAGAGGGAACTGTTTTGTGGAATTATTCCTACTTAAAATCTCGTCTCATGCATTGTTCCTGTGTTTTTCCCTGTTGGAGGAGAAGGGAGGGGACCTCAAGGCATTTTTAGTGAAATGAGTAAGGATAACGGGTTGTGCGTTCCAGGTCATTTCCTGCTTTCAGACACTCCTGCAGCCCAGCCGTGCATCTGACTCTGCTGTGGCACCAGGCGTGGGCAAGCGCTGGGCTGGGCTGCGCCCTGGGAAGATGCCCAGCCGTTAGTGCAGTGACAAGGGTTAGGATGCATCTTGTCATTGTGCTGGTTTGGGCCATGGTATTAAATCTACCTAGCCGAAACCGGTTTGGCTCAGTGGATAGAGCGTCGGCCTGTGGACTGAAGGGTCCCGGGTTCGATTCCGGTCAAGGGCATGTACCTGGGTTGCGGGCACATCCCCAGTGGGGGATGTGCAGGAGGCGGCTGATCGATGTCTCTCTCTCATCGATGTTTCTGACTATCTCTCTCCCTTACTCTCTGTAAAAAATCAATAAAATATTAAAAAAAAAAAATCTACCTGTAATTTTTACATGACACTAATAGTGCTTGTGGTATTTCTATCTTTATTAAAAGAGGGTCTGAAAGCACTGTTTTAATAGGTGATTCATTGGTGGTAACTGTTATTATTTCATTTAGGATAATTTAACTAATTAAGCACATTCTCTGTGATAATACACAGATTTTTATCAACTAGGTTGATTTTTTTTATGCTGCGGTCCGAGATGGTGGCAAGGGCTATACTTAGCTGGTTAAGATGCTTTTTTTGGAAGACAATTGTTTAAGCAACTACTAACTTATAATAGTATTTAATTTGTGATATTTAAAGATATATAATTGACATTTAATAGCTCTAATTTTTAAAACTTACATTTAGTTGTATGGATTCTAAAAGAGGTTCTTCTGTCTGAATCCCCAGCAAATAACGAAGGATCTCACCTAGGTCCCCAATATGTTTGTTGAGTAAATGAATTAGTGAAACTTTTATTGTATTATTCTTTTTTGTGTATGTTGGTACTTAACTAGCACATAATAATATATAAAGGATTTGTTATTGATTGATTCACTCAATAACTATTGACTATCCATTGTGTGTTACTAGTGCTATAAGCTTACAAGAACACATAGGCCATCCAGTAACTGGGTGTGTGTGATTCTGACTTTCATTCTTTAACGTCTAGGTAAAAGCTGGAGACAGCCTAGAAAGTGAGCGATACTTAATCACAGTGGAGGAGGCCAGAGCTGCTGGAAGCGCAGCTGTCAGCCAGGAGGACATTCAGGAAGCACGAGGGCCCCATCCACCGCGGTCCATGCCCTGTGGCCGGTCCCTCGGGTGTCAGCCTGCCGGTTTGAAAAGGAAGTTTACTGTAAGTGTCTCTGTGAGAATAATGAATCAATATATACCTGTATTTCATTTCAAGAAGTTATGAATTTTGAAGTTGTTTTAATCTCATTAATATGGTACTTTATAGTATATGCTTAGGTAGAAAGTAAACCCTAATTAGGAAAAATCTTAATAAAAATGAGTTTACATTTCAACTTTGTGAATTTTATATATTAATTATTACTTTACCTTACAAAACATACACATTCATTTTTCTTTCCTTCTTTCTTTCCCAGCCAGTACATTTCACATTTTCTTTATAGGCAATAGAACAGCTAATAATTGTTTTATTATTTTTAGGGTTTTCAAGGACCACGGCAAGTGCCAAAGAGAATGGTCATTATGGAAAATGGCGAATCAGCCGCGCCACTTGAGGCTGCAGCCCCTGGCCCTGCTCTCCTCGCTCCGTTCCCGAGCACCCCTCCTCTGTTCGCTGCTGCTGGCAGGGAAGGAGTCAGCAGCGCGCCGGCAGACCTCAGGAACATTGTCGTCCGCAAGGACGGGAGGAGTGGCCCGCCGGGTTCTCCCGTCGGCTCTGCCCCCTCCTCCAGGAGTAACCCCGAGAGGCTGAGGGAGGAGGGTCATCTTTGCTCTCCTGTCAGTTCTGCAGTCAAGGCCGCCATTTCTTTCCTGCCTGACGAGCCCACGAAAGGACATCGCTGGGCACCCCGCTGTTTAGGAGTCACACAAAACATCAGAAGCAAAGCACAGATCCTAGCTCTCCTGAAGTCCACGCCAGCCAGTGTGTCTGAGGACGTGGACGCTGAGATGTCAGCACATGTCCCTCGAGCACAACCACAAGGAAGCTTACACATTCCCACTACACCGCAGTGCTTCGCTGAACAGGGAGCGTGTGCTGCGGGGAGAACAGAGCGCTTGCAGTGCCGGCGACCACCGGAAAGCACCGGGAGCAGGGACAGCCGGTGGGCTGTGTACTTATCCCCACAGCCTTCGCCCGCTCACTCTTCTGCTGCAGCTGGAGATGAGCTGGAAAGGGAGCCCCAGGCTGAGGGAGATCACCTCAGTTTAAATCTGAGAGACTTTTTGGAACAAAAAAGGATCCAGTTATTCGAAACAGGTGCTGAAACTGTGGAAAAGTTTAATGGAGACAAGCTGGTAGACAATGCTGACTCATCCTGGGATCGGGAAGTAAAATCAGAGATTCCTCCATTCGGAGAAAGCGTAGCCGTTACCTGTGGCAGTTTGGGAAAGGATGGCTTAGTGTCAGGGTCTGACACGCAAGGAACTCTTCCAGTGCCTGTTAATCAGAATGACCAGGTGTGCGTAAGAAGATCCGTTCTTCCTGCAGAAAATGCCCAGGAGACAGATACCTGGGGGACGCCAGAAAGGCCGTGTAAACAAGCAGTGTCTCACCTGCCGGCATCTGAACGTCTGCAGTTTGAATCTTCACTGAGTGACAACTCTCAGATCTCTGAAGCCGTCACTGACACGTTTTCTAGGACGAATACTGACAGTGAAAGTCTTAGTATTCATGGACCCGTGAGTCATGTGACACAGCCAGTTTTGGAGGTAAATTTCAATCTGAACAATTTTGAAACCAGTGACACGGAAGAGGAACCCCAGGAAAGCAACAAAATGTCCCAGGACCCAGATGATTGGGAAAGGGAGGCCTTGGCTGATGCCTGCAGTTCAGGGGTTCAGAGGCGATGTGAGGGTGTGCCCTGTGAGGAGGGTGGCGGTGCACCCTTGCCTTTCTTAACGCCTGTTGGGGGTAAACCGTGTCCTTCCCCAGAGACCCTGCTGCCACAGCTTTGTGGGGCAGCTGCACCCACTGGGGACGAAGCCGCGGGGTGCAGTGCCCGCACTGTAGGGTGGACCGATGATGTGGATGCAGGTAAGGAAGCTGCTAATAGCCCTACCCTCAAAGTCAGAAGTGACTGTGATTTTGCTTCACTCCCGGATAAATCTAAAGGCATAAATTCAAATTTATATATTCCTCATTTTTTAGACATAGACACTAATCAGACTCCTGAAAGCAACCTATTTTCAGAACAGACTCCACCTCGGCCTTTTTTTATGGGGTGTGACTTAGATACAAATGAACAGGTGTTACCGTCAACCTCTGGCAGTGACGACAGTAACCAACGATTAGATGCCAGTCGGAGTCATTTTGACGAACGTATTGCTCTTGATAAATCAACCCCGCAAGTTTCCAGTTCTTTGTTTTACCCTCTGGGAGGAAAGCATCCTATTTCCAGAGACACAGGAGCACATATTGCTGAATCTGAAGATTTGGGAGGGATTCCGGGTTTACCCCATGACCATGTTGAAGTAGATGCTGCTGGAGCAAGCAGACAGTCCTGGGATCGTCCTAGGAATTCTCCAGAACTCTCTGGATTAAGAAACAATATTTCCCTCTTAAGGTCACTGTCTGAACACAGTACAGCTTTAGAAGGCTTGGAAATGCTGAAAAAGAAAATTCCTGCCTTCAAACAACAAGCAGCCCTGGAGACGCAGCCCGAGAGCAGCCCTGAAGGTTAGGACGGCCGGTCTGTTTTGGATTGTTCTCTAGAGCTTCAGGATGAGGAGACCCTGCTCTGGAGGCAACGTTAGGGATCACATGTGTTCAGAGAGGCAGTACATGTCCTGGGTCAGCCGCTCCAATAGAGCAGCGGTTCTCAGCCTGTGGGTCACGACCCGTTTTGGGGTCGAACGACCCTTTCACAGGGGTCACCTAAGACCATCGGAAAACACATATATAATTACATATTGTTTTTGTGATTAATCACTATGCTTTAATGATGTTCAATTTGTCACAATGAAAATACATCCTGCATATCAGATATTTACATGATGATTCATAACAGCAACATTACAGTTATGAAGTGGAAACGAGAATAGTGTTATGGTTGGGGGTCACCACAACATGAGGAACTGTATTAAAGGGTCGTGGCATTAGGAAGGTTGGGAACCATTGCAATAGCGGATAAGATGGTGAGAAGGAAGTCTCCTTCCTGTCACACTCCCTCAGCCCACTCAGCGGGGTTTCCGCCAGAGTGTCCTCTGCACGTCTGAAGACACATGTAAGCAAACGTGTGTTCTATGGGCCAGTCCTGACATACATTTTTGGACATGTGCTAGGAGCTGCTATTTTTTAAAAAGTCGTGAGGTTACAGTGATGATCTCTAGTTCCACTTCCACTCCTTAGGGCTCTCTTCCCTCCACTCCATAGTGTGCTCCTTTGTTCCCACCGTGAGGAAAGGCCAGGTTCCCAACCACATCAGTCCGTTCCTTCCACAGTCCGCACCACACGGTCCCAGATCGCCACACCCGTGTCACTGCAGCACTAAATCCTGTGCAGTTTTTTGTTTTTAGACTATCTCCTGTGAGTATAGAGCTGAGTATTATGTTCAGTAGTTACCTGGGTTACTTTTTTCTCTTCCGGGTGATGATATTATTCAGTGTAAATATAGTTCATTCGGCTTTTTTGGCCATGCTTGTTGGTTTGTGTTTATTTCTATGTAAAATACTGACCTGGTTCAAAAGTCAAAGCCATGTGCAGGCGTGTGCTCCTGCCTTAGGCCTGCCCCTCCCGTCCTGCTGCTGCAGCGGCTGCTGTGTCACACCCGCGCTTCCTTTTTTAAAAATATATTTTATTGATTTTTTACAGAGAGGAAGGGAGAGGGATAGAGAGTGAGAAACATCGAGGAGAGAGATCGATCAGCTGCTTCCTGCACACGCCCTACTGGGGATGTGCCCGCAGCCGAGGTCCACGTGCCCTTGACTGGAACCCGGGACCCTTCAGTCCACAGGCCGACGCTCTATCCACCGAGCCACACCGGTTCGGCCCGTGCTTCCTTTCGCAAACAAACAGCTGCACAAGGACCTGCTGTCCCTTGTTCAGCAGAGGGCGCCACGCTCTGTACTCGTTAGTGCCTTGCTTCTCACCTGACAGTGCCTCCTGGAGGTCACGCATGCACAGGCCCTTTCTGGTTACAGCTCTGAGGCTCCTGTGGACAGGCCGTCGATGCACCGTCTCTGGTGTTTCCTGTCACAAATAACGTGACAGTAAGTCACCTTATGTGTCCATATGAGCATGTGGGCTTTCTGCATATTGTGGGAAGTATGCGAATGTGTAGCAGTGGGGCTGCGGGTGGAGATGCCTGTAGATACTGCACAGTCACCATTTCTCACCCATCGGCATGTGTGGCAGCCTGTTTCCCCACAGCCTTGCCAGCCTCGTGGGCGAGAAGCGGCATTTCACTGCGTTTACGTTTGTATTGCTGTTACCACAAGGGAAATGGATCCACTTTTCAGCGTTTGTATATATATATTTTCATGCCTTAGCCCTTGTCGTATTTTTAATAGTGGTTTTTATTCTTGTTGATTTATACATGTTCTTGATATATTATGTATTAGCCCATCACCTGTGATATATGTTGTAGATATTTTTTTAAAAATATATTTTATTGATTTTTTAGAGAGGAAGAGAGAGAGATAGAGAGTTAGAAACATCGATGAGAGAGGAACATCGATCAGCTGCCTCCTGCACACCCACCACTGGGGATGTGCCTGCAACCCAGGTACATGCCCTTGACCGGAATCGAACCTGGGACCTCTCAGTCCGCAGGCCGACGCTCCATCCACTGAGCCAAACCGGTTTCGGCTTTAAAGCTCTTTAAATAAATAGCCTCAAGTTCTAAAATCCAGTTGTTTTTTGTTTTATTTATTGTTTTCAACAGGAAAATAATGAAACAAATGGCTAAAAATGAAGTTATAGCTGTGAGTTTTTATTTTACAGTGACAAGCACTTTAAAATGATAGTCTTCTTGGTGCATTTCGTAGAAATTGAGGTGGTTGAGGATGGACGTTTTTAGAAGAAAAATCTATTTTTAAGCAGAAACCCACCTGCACCGCTCGTGTTCCCTTGTCTTCGGTCCCAGCTGCAGTGTTACTGCCCTCGAGGGGTCTTCCCATCGTCCCGTCTACACCGCTCTCGTTCTTCATTGACGGGAACCTTTGTGTCTCAGTCTGGCTTCGCCGGGTTGGTTTCTGTCCTGTGTCCCTCCCTTTTTGAGGGACCTGGTTTGTCACACTGTTTGTCCAATGCCTGGCCCACTGGACATAGGAAATCATTGAAGGTTTTTTTAACAGTTATCGAGACTTGGCCACATCTTACAATTTAAATTTTATTCCTTGTCTCATTCGGTTTTAGAAATAAGTTTTAAGAAAATGTCAGAGCAGTGCGGTGTGCGTGCTGAGGAACATCGCCGGGCGTCGTCTGTTACAGCTGGGAAGCCCTTGACTATCGGAGTTTCGCCAGCCGGTCCCCAGGTTCCGCATCTGAACCAGGATTCTCAACTGGTACGTTACTGTTTCTATCACCATATTTTATTTTATTTTTTTAAAATACATTTTATAGCCGAAACCGGTTTGGCTCAGTGGATAGAGCATCGGCCTGCGGACTGAAGGGTCCCGGGTTCGATTCCGGTGAAGGGCATGTACCTTGGTTGCAGGCACATCCCCAGTAGGAGGTGTGTGAGAGGCAGCTGATTGATGTTTCTCTCCCACATTGATCTTTCTCTCTTCCCCCACACTCTCCTTCTCTAAAAAAAAAAAAAGTTCGCATCTTTTCATCCAGCAATTCCACATTCAGAAATTTATTCTAAGAAACTACTCAGAGATCAAAACAAAGAGATTCATCAGAAGGCTGTTCACCCTGCCTCCTGCACACCTCCCACTGGGGACGTGCCCACAACCAAGGTACACGCCCTGGACCGGAATCGAACCCGGGACCCTTCAGTCCGCAGGCCGACGCTCTATCCACTGAGCCACACCGGCCAGGGCCCAGGTTAGATTTCTTGCTCCACGTCGATTCCCGCATGGGAGCTGATTTTATCACAGCCGTCTCCTAAAACCCAGCTTCACAAGGACGTGGTGCTGAAAGAAGACGTGAGATCTGACCCTGAGTTAGTTTGCTCAGTGTCTGACATGTCAAGTGACACTGTACTTTGCTCAAATGTAAAACATCTGCCGAAGCCAAAGTACTACCATGGGAACCGTGGCAGGAGCACAGAAACACCAGCACAGCCAGGACGGACGGGAGTTCTGGAGGCAGTCCTCCAGATCAGCGCTCCGTGCGGACCCCGGCACTCCCGGAGGACAGTCCCTTCATTACAGGGCACTGTTCTTCCCGCAGACGGCAAGGACAAAGGGGAAATGTCCCACTGGCCCCGTTGTGTATTTTACTCTGGTTTCCATGTTGTTGGTCTTTTTCTTTTCATCTTGATTTTCCTCCCTTTTTTAAATACAGAGATAATGATTAACATTTCCAGCTTTTGGGGGGCCTGTTTTTAAAAATATGGTTAGATTGATGTGTACAAATAGTTTTGTATCCTTTTCATCCTCACATTATTAAAGACTTTAAAAACATCTTTCTTTAAACAGAATTTTTATTTTATTTTTAATTGATTGATTTTGGGGAGAGAGAAATGATTTGTTGTTCCACTTACCCATGTAGGTGTCCTGACCTGAGATTGAACCCCAAACCTAGGCGTATTGGGACAATGCTCTAACCAACTGAGCCACCTGGCCAGGGCCATAAATGTCTTTCACAGGTTATTTATATAAGAAGTGTTTTAATAAGAATTTCCTAATTTAATTTTTACAATATCCTGTTACACATAACAGGCCTGGTGCACAAAATTCGTGCACTTGGGGGGAATCCCTCAGCTGGGCCTGTGTCCTCTCGCACTCTGGGAGCCCTCGGGGGATGTCCGACTGACTCGGGGAGTGGGCCTAAGTCAGCAGTCGGACATCCTTAGTGCTGCTGTGGAGGCAGGAGAGGCTCCCACCACTGCTGTTGTGCTCTGCCAGCCTTGATTCTGGCTGAGAGGCACTACCTATGAGAGCGCACTGACCACCAGGGGGCAGCTCCTGCATTGAGCGTCTGTCCCCTGGTAGTCAGTGCGCATCATAGCAACCAGTTCTGCTGTTCGGTCAATTTGCATATTAGCCTTTTATTATGTAGGACTAGAGGCCTGTGCATGAATTCGCGCACCAGTGGGGTCCCTCGGCCTGGCCTTTGAGCAGTCTTTGCATGTCATTAGCATATTACACTTCGATTGGTTGAACAGACTACCAGACACTTAGCATATTAGGCTTTTATTATATAGGATTATTAATAACGAACTATGACGTTCGCTAATGACTGATTACTATAAACATGCTGCATTCATTTCCCTTATGTGCAGGCGCACCATTTCTCTCCACTAATACTAGCAGCGGATATTTTGGCAGCCGGTTGCCACGTCATTAGTCTTGTACTGACTTGTTCGGTGTGCGCAACAGGGAATATTTTGCTTTTGGAGAACAAGAAAAGTAGGTTTATTTGTGTTACGCTTATTAATTTGTGCAGTTATTCAGTATCTGGTAAGTTAATGTTCAAGAAAAAAATATTTTTATTAAAATGTTCTGTTATTTTCAGTTAACGGCGACGCATTTATTTCAGCCCTTTGTATTCAGCATTCTCTATTGAAATAAACCTACGTTTCTATGAAAATTGAAGCTTTTGTTTTTTTGTGGCCACACAAACTTAAACCTTGTTTACTTGGCCCATGTTAGCCTTTGGGTTTGACATGCTTGATGTACAGCATCACTTTAGTAAAGGTTTTTACACACAAATCATTGCTTACATTTAAGTTATTTTCTGAGATTGGATTCCCAGAAGTGTAACTAACCTGAAAGGCTATGAGCAACTTTCCTAGGTTCTTGATATAAATTGTCAAATCTTACCGTTTACCATATGAATATTTAACTTCATGTTCATCGTACTGTTGAAGTCTTCTAAAATTCTTGCAGTGTGAAAGTAGTCTTTAATCAAATTTAGTTTTTATTCCTTTGGTTGTTGTGGTGTCCTCACATTCATGTCTGAAGTTTGCATGCTGTGTGTAACTTGCTGCTGCCTTTGGTTTCTCTTACGTTAGCGTTCTGCTCCCAGGATGATGAAAGAAAATGACCAAGTGGACCCAGGTGGACCAGCGCAGTCTCTGCCGGTGAGTTAACTTACAAAACGTAACGTTGCCAGAGTTACATTTGTGCATGTGGATGTGGCGTATAATTTTATGTTTGTGTTTTACACTGTCAGTTTCAAACTTACTTGTAATTAGTTACCTGTCATACTCACTTAGCTGAACCTGCTATCTTTTGTGTCAATGCCCAGTGTTGTCTGTAGGATTAGTAAATAGCCAGTCTTTTTCATTAAGCTAGTTTGGCAAACGCAAGCATCACCTGATCCATACATCGTCGTTGGTGGTCATAGCTGCACTCACAGCTCTGCTGCCTAATACTGAGCAGGACAAACAAATCCATGCTGTGGTGACTCGGTCACTTATCTTTTTTTAAAAAATTTCTTTATTGATTAAGTTATTACATATGTGTGCTTATCCCCATATTACCCCCCCCCCCCCTTCCCCCTCTCATGCCCTCC